AGAGGGACTGAGGACATGCAGAGGGACTGAGGACATGCAGAGGGACTGAGGACATGCAGAGGGACTGAGGACATGCAGAGGGACTGAGGACATGCTGATCTTGTTAGCTGGCCTCCAGGCACAGACTCACTGCCTGCAGTGGAGGAGGAAGCGGCGGCAGGGGGCGGAGCCCCAGCCGAGTTGGTGACAGAGGAGGAGGAGCTAAGCCCTAGGTGGGTGGGGCTAGAGAGAGTTTTGGCAGCGGTGGCGTCATTGTGCTGGCTGACGACGGAGGGCTGACGGCGCAGGGCGCCGGGCACGGCCGCCTGGCCCGTCTGGAAGGTATAGACCACATCCATCTGAAGGAGGACAGCCAGATCAGTGTTAGACAGCAGAGACAGAGCGAGAGGACAGGACAGAAGACACCTCCAGAGACGTTAGAGCACAGTGTTAAAGAATGTGGTTTTATCTGAAACCAGTTGAACTGAATGAAACTGATGTTAAAAACAGATCTGTTATCAGCAGGTCACATAAAGAGGAAACGTTTAGTCGGACAGTAAAGGACAGAAAAGATTTTTGTTTTTTTGTCTTCAACAGAACAGCTTTCATTCCTCTGATGTTCAGAAACTGAAGGAAAAATAACAAGAAACTGAAACAAAAGAGAACAAAAAGAAGCCAATTTCTGCACGACAAGAAATGTGAAGGAAAACCAGCTGATTGGAATTAAAGCTGTAATTTAGTGACAGAATGTGAGAGAAACCTCTGCAGGAATGAAGGGATGAAAAGAGGAAGAAGAAACAAAGAGCTTACATCACTCTGACAGAGGAGGAGGAATGTCATTTTCAGGACTGATAAAGTTTCAGCAGTGAGGTGCTGCTTGTACCAATTATCCTCACTGTGGCTGCCTGTCGAGGCGTGGAGCTGCCCACCCTGATTACAGAGGAGGAGGACAGCAAGAGGAGGAGGAGCGATAAGAACCTAATTAGCTCGCAGCCTTTTGTCGCCTCCTCGTCCTCCTGTCCCGAGAGGACGACCGAGTGATAGAGCAGATACACAACCACGAGGAGGAGCAACAAAACGTCTTCCTCATTTCTCTACAGCACAGGAGACGGAGGAGGACAACAGCTGTTTGTGTTTCTCTCAGGTAAAGGTAAGAATCAAACATGGAGGATCCTCTTCTTCCTGCTTCAGCTAACAAAGTTTTCACATCAGTTCAGCTCCGTTCTTTTCCTCTCTTTACCTTCTGGCCTCAGGAAGTACAAGCTGAGTGCACCTGACCTGTGTGTGTGTGTAACAGGCTGATCTTCCTGTAAGTGGGTGTTAGCATCAAGGCTAATGAAGCCTATAGGGACTGAATGGACTGCCTGTGGACATGCTAATGTTGAGTACATTTTGAACCTGTAGGAGGAACACACACACACACACACACACACACACACACACACACACACACACAC